ATCTGATTGGCTAGTTTGATTAAACTGACCAATCAGATTCGTTATTGAGTCCATTGAGGTAGGTGCTTGAGAACACCTTAAGTCACCATACTTTAATTTCATCGATTTCGTATGATCTAATGGAGACATACCTTTCCATTATATCACTTTCTTCACCTTCATCAGTTTTCTCATTATCTTAGTAATTATGATATTTTAATTTTTAATACTTCTTTTTGTTTGCTACACGTAGCTGAAGTAAACACTTTATCACCCTTTTAAGGTGTTTTTTATATTATTTTTAATGTCATTATTGAGATTTCATTTGACAGTTTCATGTTATATTGATTGAAAGAAGTTCTATCACGTTTTAATTCAACTGTTTATTACTGTATAGTAAACGAAAATAACTATGTAATAAATTGGAGATGCGCATGTTTATTTGCGCTAGTAATATAAGCCAAAAAAATACAAAAGCACATTTATGCAGTTTGCCTTATACTGTATCAATAGTACAGATAAGTAATAATATATAAGAGTCTTAGTACTAGAATAGAGCCAATATCAGCATAGCGTTGATAGTCAAACCAAACCTTTGTTTTTTAAATAAAAAAAGCTGCACGTAAAATTAAATCTGATAAACCGCGTTATAGTTAGGATTTGGACAGTGATGATGATTTTCTGCGGTTAATACAGTATTTATTTATTTTTAAAAATAAATAAATATCACAAAGTTCACAAGGAAAATTCTTAAATAGACCGCCGAAGGTGGTCTTTTTTTGTAAAAAGCTATGTTAATTGTACTTTTTGACTTAAAATTATTCTAATTTACGTCTATCATGAATCAAATCGATAGAAAAATTCAATACGAATATCAACGAAACTTTGAATACTCATTAATTAAATAACACCACTCACATACTCATGTGCCGAGCCAATAAAATTTATTTCTTACATTTTCAATGATCTAATTTATTTTTCTTTCGTATTTACTCACTTGGTTAATGATTATAGATAATCTTGGTGAGTCTATTTATGTTTCGTTGAGATCTATTTTTTAACTTCGCCATCAGTTATTCGATATAGAGTGTCAATACTATATTATGTGAGGTATTACCGTATCCAGATTTATAGCGTACCTTACAATTACTTCGAATTACCATAAAGTACTACAAAGTTCTTAATACGAAGAAGATTTGTTTATAGGGAAGCTATTTATAATCATATCTAATTACTTTAGTTGCTACGAAATAAGTAAGTTATACATTTTGATTTTCATAGCCTTCGGACAAATCTTTTGAGTACAGTACTATTATATAGATGTTTGGTACCTCCTGATGTTTATGACTATATATCCTATATATACTCTAAATTAGCATAAAATAGATTATATATATATTCCTTCGCCATGTATTTCATCAGATAGTGAATAACTACAGATTCAATGCGCATGAAAGAAATATTTGTGCAGACTTTATATGAAATGCTGCATTTGTGGTTGAGAGATAAAGAATCGTAACATTTGTATATAATACTGCATGATTGAAACTATTAATGAAATAATAGTCAATTAAAAAACTTTTCCGTGATTAGCTTGACTAAATAACTGAGTTAGGTTCCGTGGCCTTATTAAGATCCTAATAATTTGCTAGAATTCGCCAACCAAGTTTATTTATTATTCTAAAAATAATATATATTTAAATAATAAAAAGATAATTTAGAGAGCCTTTTTTTATTCATTATAAAATTGGGAAATATATTTCTATTTTTAAAGAAGTGCTCAAAAGAGATCTTATTACTATATATCTGATATGTAAAAACGATATACGTAGTACGTAAGAAATATTTCCCATATCTTAGAATAGCTCTTAATTATTTGTATCTTTGGAAATTATTTAAAAAAAAAAAAATTACTAAGTTTAACAATCTTACTAACATTAGAACCGTAAGACGAATAATTTTAGTAGTTTATTTGTGGCAGAAATATATCGAGATCACATGTTAATTATCCAATTAGAATATCAAACTGCCAACAGGCGTAATGTAAAACTCTATGAAGCCGTCTTTTATGTTTTAATGAAAAAATTTCTTGCAACATTAGCATATATACTTTCTGATTCTAACCTAAAAAAAAAATTAAATGTTCATTTTTTTTTTTTACTTAGTGACTTATTGCGTTATTATTGAATAATCAGTATGTGATGCTAACCTAGTTTGGTAAACCTTTATTATTAAATGTTAAACTAACAGTTCAGACCGGCACTACTTTGTTATAATAAATTTCTAATGCGGTCGTAACATAATTTAACCTCAATTCCTAAAAATAATTTATTTGGTTACTCTTTAGGTTATTAATAATAATTTAAAAATACGTATTTAATTACCGTCATTTCTTTCTCACTATATACTTAATTTGAGGCAAACGATTTCACCTCATCTTTTAACTTTTAATACACTCATTTTTTTTGCTGTAAAATAATCATTCATAATGTTCCGCGCATTAGATATATTATTATTATTAATTTTAACATTCTTAGCTTGTTCAAATGCTGATACTCAAAATGTAGATCTTTCAGTATTGGCTTTTAACCCTCAAAACGTTACTGCCAAGAAAGGAGACGTCGTATATATCTTATATATTTTATTTTATAGGTTTATCTTTCGTCTTAATCAAACTTTCGTTAAAAATTTCTTCTTGAATTAGATCACTTTCTCGTTTGTTAGTGGGAAACATAGTATTGTACAAAGTGACTCACCGGGTGTATGCACAAATTCCACAACTTTGACTTCACGCAAGTATCAATTATGTAGAATTATAGAATGTTCATTCTAAACTTATCTATTAACAATATATAAAATTCTTTTAGTCTCCTCAGGTGAACGATCCCAGGGTGAAACATATAATTACACCATAACTCAGAGCGATGGTGCTATATATTTTTTCTGTAATTTCGGTCAACATTGTCTTAACGGAGAATGGGGTGTCATAAACGTAATTTCTGGTAGTAGTAATAGTGGTAATGGTAACGGTGGCAACGGTGGTACCGGTAAAGGTGGTAAAAGCTCAGCTTCTATCAATGCTCCAAATTCTTTTAATTTCTTTTTACTGTTTACTATTACATTCATCTTCTTTAATATCTAACTAATTAGAATTGTCCTAATTGTTATGATATTTTATCTAGAGAATTTTAAAAGTAAATATATACAAATAAATTTACTTATTGAATTCGAAACAGCCAATAAAATTATTTTATTGAAAAAAAAAAACTAAAATAATTTGAGCTATTTAAACATCATGACGTAATTGCACGTTCAAGCTAAAATGTTAATTTTCATGTTAAATTTTTTGGTTTAAAATAAAAAAAATGTATTATTGTCACTAATGATTAGAACTATTCAGTAAGTAAATCATGTTCTTTTTTGAATATTTTTTACGTGTATATTCAACAAAAATATGTTATTTTATTGACAATATATATTCAAAAGAACATGACTATGACTTTAACTTACAGGCTTTCTCCGGCTTTATCGTTCTAACCTGGTTATTTAGATTATTTAGATTATTCGAAGTTTTAAGTTTAAACGCAGTTATATTATTAATAGGCGAGATCGGATTTTTTTTTTTTATTTAATAAATTGGTTCTCAAATCGGGCCAGATCAAAACTTGTAAAACTTTTAAAAAAAATTTTTTTTTATATCAATTTTACTATCCGGGTAGGTTTTTTTTTTTAGAAATTTATAATATAT